TCTTCATGATGATTAATTAGCCAGTTTTTGAGAAAGCATATACATAGATATAAAACACCATAGATGCGTTTTGGTAAATTCCAAAAATAAAATAAAAATTATAAGATTTAAAATATAAATACGTTATAAAAAGAAAATTAAAATAAGATTAAAAAATAAAGAGAAATTAAAATAAGAATAAAAAATAAAATAAAAAGCTGAAAGATTTAAAATATATAATAAACTGATTTAAAAACAAATTAAGAAAAGAAAAAAGATAAAATATAAATTAAAAATATTAAAAAATAAATAAATTAAAAAAATTAATAGGAAATAAAAAAATTACAAAAATCTAAAAATAGAATAAAAATATAAAAAAATTAAAGAATAGAATAAATTAAAAAAAATTATTAGGAAATAAAAAATTGCAATAATTAAAAAATAAAGTAAAATATAAAAAATTAGAGAATAGAATTAATTAAAAAATCAATGAAGATAAATTACATCGCTATATAGTTTTTGATTCTTATTATAAGATTTTATAGAATTTTTGTTTTAAAATTTTGACATTAAATTAATCTGTAGTTTAAAGTCAGAGTTCAAATTAAAGTTAATATTTTTAATTAGGGTTTTTAGAGTATTAAACAATTTTACTTAGTATTTCAAATACTAATTACTAAAGCTAGTTTAAGAAACAGTATATTTGGTTAATTTCACCCTTGATTAATGCTAAAATCATTCTAAAATAAATAAAAAATTATTAAAAAATAAAAATACAAAATAATTAAATAATAATTAAAAAGTTTAAATCTGATTAAAATAATTACAATAATTAAAAAATTAAAAGAATTCATTAAAGATTTTAAAAAACTAAAGACAATTAAAAAATTTTAAAAAATTAAAAATATAAATAAATATAAATTTATAATTACATTGCATATAAATTTTTCTTAAAAAAACAATAAATTTTATAATTTATGTGTGTGCCGCAAGGAAAAACCTGTCATCAAACTTTCAAGTATATAGTTAGCCGTCTATGGAAAATCTATTATGATAGATTTTCCATAGACGGCTAACTGTACACACAAAATATTATTGAAAGTTTGATGACAGGTTTTCCCTTGGTAACTCATATACAATTAGTTAAATCAAATAAAAAAATCAATTTAATTTACTAACAAAAATAATTTCTGTTTTTGTTTATTAAAATAATTTGATATTAATATCTAGTTATTATAAAAGTATAAGTTAAACCAAATTTATTAAATTTTAGTATCATGAGTGCCACCAAGGGAAAACCTACAAGTTGTACTTTTTTGAATATAAAAATAACTTAAAATCAGGAAATTTAATACCTAAAACTTGTAGGTTTTCCCTTGGCGACACTCATATACAGGCTATTTTTATTAGTTTTAATATTACTGTGGTGGGTATTAAAAATAGAACATGCCAAAGTTAAAAATATGGTACTATTAGAGATGTGCCATATGCATTATGCAGTCAATGTTCCACTATATAAATCTAATATTTTATATTTTCAAATCCAATAACCTCTTAAAAATAATACAAAGTCTGTTTACTACATATAGTTTTTGAGGGGGCCATAGTATATTATACAGAATTGCATAATGCATGCGACATAATGCTGCATTATGTGATGCAAAGCTAAAAAACCTAGCATTCGCACATCTCTAGGTACTACAATAAAAATATCGCATATTTTTATATAGCTTTTGCAATAAAAAGAGCTAATACTCTGAAATGTATAATATTTTGTCTATTCAAAATACCCGATCACTATATCAAGATCACGGGCTTTTTGTTACGAATAATTTAGATTACCATAAAACTCAGAAAATAAGCGCTTACGGTGAATAAGCACATCTTAATAAAATTTTGTTCTATAAATAAACACTCATACTGTAAAGTGACTGCATGATATTTTCAGATCTTAAATTAATTGGTTAAAATAATAACCTGTGAAAAATGATTTCAAAAAGGTGTGACCTCTGCAGATGATGCCATACAATTTTATAGATTTCAAAAAATACGTATAAAGGGTTCTACCCTGAAATCCCGAAAGGACATAATATTGACTAAATTGGCCAGCATTATAACTAATGCTGGCTAACTTTGTCGGTATTATGTCTTTTTCGGGAATCTGTCTTTCGGAACCGTATAAAGATATGTTGGAAAATGTAACTGATCAATAGACAATCTAGAACTCCGAAATTTCCCTCGTTCATGGGATCACACCCTTTTACAAAGCGCAATAATTAAAAAAAGGGTGGTTATTTCCCGAGTTTTACGGTAATTAAAACTCGTAACTTAATTTGTTAGTTATCAGTTATCAGCCATATTAGGTGATTTTACGATATACAACCTTTTATAATTTTTATTATACAAATTAATTTTTATTTACGATTAAAAAAACATAGCCTACGTTGAAAATTTATCTAAATATAGAAAATTTTTGATTTATTTTTTAGAAAAGAATTAAACCTTTTAAGTGATTATAGCAAATCATTAAACACATTTACAAGTTTTCGCTTTGCAAAATTCATATAGATTATTAATTGATGTATTTGATAATTTGATAAAATCTAAAGTAATATAGCACAATAATCTTCTTTCAATAAGCTCCAACCATAATTAATACTGTATCAAACAAATATAAATCTGTTGCAATCTCAATTACCCGTGATAATCTCGGTTACGGGTTAACTTCCCGGAAATACAATTTCATCAAAGCCATAATACTGGCAATCCATTTACTAATAAGACATTATTTCGATACCTCATTTTCCCGTATTATAATTTGATCGATTATAAATTTTTCCGATAAGTCATTTACCTGCTATTTCCGTTTCACCGAATATTAAAAACCGAATGCCCATTTTACCTAAATATCATTTTCCGAAAGATGCGTTTTTCTGACGCCCTATTTCTTAGAAAATTTATTATTGAAAGCTCCTTTACTGAAATATATCATAAAATATTTGTCGAGGAAAAGGCTATAAAAAAATTCTTGCTGGAGAAACGGGTGTTCGAAAAAAGAGTTTTGTTGGTGAAAAGATTGTTGGTAAACTTCTTGCAGAAGCTAAGGTTGTCGGATAAATGGTCGTATTGGAAAAAATATTTCAGTAAAATTTTCTATTGTGAAATAGACTGTGTCTTGTTGTGAAAAAGTGATATCGGAATTATAGGGTCGAGGAAATAGAATTTCGAGAGGGCGGGTTTCTGGAAAGTGAGAATCAACGGATAATCTTAATGAAAATCATAGGGGAAAATGTGGACCTATAAAAATGTAACACGAAACATCATTATTTATATGACGCAATTTGTGGTACCGCTAGTAACAAATGTGGATACTTATAGTGAAATACGCAGTAGCATAGATTTTTGCCAAGTATTTTATTGTACATCCAAGGACGAAATCTAGCTGGCATATACTGTAATAAAATATTTTCTATATTCATTTATTGCATTACATAAAAACTTAATTTATGTGGACATATGTTAGATCTAGATTTACTACAGGGTATCACTTTAATCTTAACACATGGGTATTAGGTAAACCCGGAAAATAAAGCTATTGATTATTGTAACATCATACCTAATAGCAACACTAGTTGAGTTCCGAGTTTTAGGGAGACTGCGCTGCGTAGTTACCTGATTGTTTTATATACGGTAAAACCCCCTAAATATGCTGCACTTAAAGAGAATGCGAATTTAGAGAATTGTGGTCATATTTATAGTTGTTGGATAAATTGCGTGAAGTACAATACACAATTAATAAAAACTTTAAATTGTATAAATTACGCTAACAATGACATGCAAAAAAAAAAGCAATAATTTACTTATTTGTTTGTACTAATCACCAATAAGATATGCTGAAGAATCTTCTCCGGTTCAGTTATAGATTTCTACTAAATATAGTAATTGCCTAACGATCCATTAAAATTCTATGTATGCGCATGCAATTTTTTTGTGACGCCAAACCTTATTTATTACAATTATACGTATTATAGAACAACAACCAAAAAAAAAATAATTTGGATCTAGAAAATTCTATGTACGTACGTACGTACAGACATACATGTTAATGAACTTTATAATGTTAACCAAATTTTTGAGTCACACCACTTACTATGTATTGGCTAATATTGATTACTCATAGCAAAATAATTTTGACATGTAATTATGGTTTAAGCATGTGTCAATTATCAAGGACTGAACCATAAGAACATAGTGATTCAGTTAGGTCAGGTCGAATGTACTTTTAATATCTTTAGTTTAAACCTAATATTAACTAGTTGACAGACTATACCGATACGGTATAATATTTTTATTAATCTAGATTTTAAATTTTCTGTGGCGTTTTTAAAATTTAATAGGGACATTGTTAGAGATCCGTGAGTTTTATGCATATTCTAATATCCCGGAGAACAATTATGAGGTCGTTACTAATTTACTTTGTTCAGTGAAAATTGGGTAAACACTATATCTATCAGTTATGTACATATGGATGTATGCGCATGCATGATATGTACAAATTTGGAATATGTCATTATCGCTTAAATAAGAAATTTTACTTTGTGATGCTGGTCAAAATTATCATCAATAAGGCTACTATTTGCGTAGTGTTAGTCAGAGGTGCCATATTTGGGGTATATAGTAATGATTTGCATATTTCTATGGAATTGAGTTATACATCAAACTGTTGGTTCAAGTTTACAGTAATTCCGGAAGGCGGATGCTAAATAAGGTTAAATGACGTGATCTTACTGTAATTGTTTGTTTTCTGCTTCGGCAAAAAGCATTAAGAATTAAAATCATTATTCGGTTTTCTGTTGCACAAGCATTCAGATGTATCGAGAATTGTTTTGTTTTGTTTTAAAAAAAATAATAAATTAGTATACGAATGAAAATTTTCTTATTTAAAGGGCAATGCCTTCTTGATATTTGAATCCTCACAAGCAGAAAAAAATTCGAATTTTATGAATAAATCTCAAGAAATCATGAATTCAGGAATTCCACAAGCGTGTTACGAAAATTCACTGAATACTGAATTGCTTAGCAGTTCTCCTTACGAGTTGACAATGGAAATCAATGAATTGATTTCTCCTCCTCAAAACACTCGAAAAGCAAAAAAATTTCTAAAAAATCCTAAATCTACATCACCACCAAGGCCACTAAATGCATTCTTTTTATTTCGACGAGATTTTAAAGAAAAACAGAAACGAAACGGAGTACCGATGAAACTAGACGAGATGTCACGTTTGGCATCTTATGTATGGGATAATTTGTCAAACGAAGCCAAAAGCTACTTTGATGTTCTTGCCACTTGGGCAAAACAAAGACACGACGAATTATATCCCAATTATAAATATGATCCCAAATCAAAAAAGAGTGATCTAAAAAAGCAAAGATCAAATACACATCGAAAAAATAATAAAGTCGAGCGATTATCAGCAATCACTCATGAAAAAACATGCGAAATTGCAATTGAAGAAGCAGAAAAATCTATTGAAAATAGTTTTTCAGATCCAGATTTTAACCTCCCATTTTTTCTCGATTGGGGCTTGATTTCCTATCCGCTTGGTTTTCCCATTGACTTTCCATCATATCCATATGTTTCTGAACCGATAAATAATATCGAATATCAAGACTTTTTCGAATTTCCATCATGTCCCGAATACGGGTTCGAACCGATAAATAATGAACATCAGATTACTACTGATCAAGGCTTTTTCGTTAGTTTTCCATCACATCGCGAATACGTTTTTGATCCGATAAATAATGTCGAACAGACTACTGATCAAGCCTTTTTTGATGAATTTATTAATTTCGATCAGCAACCTGGCGCTAACTGTTAAGTTTCGTTCGTTTTTATCCTTTAAAACACCGGCAGCTTATTTTTTATGCTTTCAATATACCTGTATGATCACCTCTAAAATCAATAAGATCGGTTTCGGACATTTATGTTTCCTCATTCGCTACTAGGATTTATTAATTTTCTAAGTTTTATGTTGAAATTTAATATGCATAAGGAGATATGCAGTACGATATAAGAATTCATGTTTTATAAGATATGTATTATGCAAAAAAAATATGTTATGGCAAAAAAAAAAAAGAATATTTTGGGGTCATTATAAGGGAAATAAGATCATGAAAATGCAAAAAAATATTTCGGGGTCATTATAAGGGAAATAAGATCATGAAAATGCAAAAAAAAAAAAAAAAAGAATATTTCGGGTCATTATAAGGGAAATAAGATCATGAAAATACAAAAAAAAAAAAGAATATATATATATAATTATATGATTTCGGGTGTTTTAAAGGATTTCGATATTACAAATATGCACACATTGTTTTCGTTAATTTTTTTCGGATTTTCAACAATATTTTTAAATTAATAATTTTTTATCGTATACCATTTTTTTTATTAAATACAATATTATATCAATTATACAATTATTACTAAACTATATTTTTAAATAAATATTTATATATTTTCTAAAATCATCATTTTTATTATTGTTATTAGTGAGTTTGGTGACTTGTTCTTAATCGGTTGTTGATCTTTAATTTCGTGCATTGTTTGCTCTTTTTCTTTTGCTGTCATTTGACTTTATTATATATCATTTATGCTTTAGTATCTACAACCCAGAAAGTGGAGTTTAAAAAGGTCTCCTATCATGTTATCCAAACGATTCTGTACGCACATATTATTAAAAAATTTTATAATGGATTCACTGAAAGATTCCGATCAAGCATAAATTAATTTTTTATCCGATAAAAAAACATTGACCGAAATTGCTATAAGTATAATTTGTGAAACTTGTGAATAGTCTATTTTTTAAATAGCACTTAAAGAATTATAAATTGTTTCAGCACATCTGCATACAAAACAAGTACTTAAGGAAGAGAGTATTTATATCAGATACCACGAACATAGTAAAATGAAGTGTATAGTTTTATTGTATAATAAAACCGTGATACATCGAGGTAGATCTCTTTCTCACGTTACATCTTGATTTAATCTGACAACTACAATCATGACTAAAAAAAACGTGCCTATATGTACGTACTGTATATCATAGACTTTTAAAGAACTGTTTGGTCAAGCAGCTCTAGAAAGTATCTAAACTATCAAAGCGGTGATGTTTTATAGGCTGGAGCCTCAATTATTACGCTCTTACATAAATTTACTTATTGAATGTATTAAAAACGGTTACATCTAATTCCACAATGGTCATTTCCCACAATAGGTTATTAATCTGACATCATACCGTCATACATATGGTTAGTTGTTCATTCGAAATTTATTTAGTTAAAAATATGTTACTTTAGTTAATTATTAAATTTAAATTTTATTTATGGTATGCAGTAGTTATAAAAGTTAAAACAAGGGTAAAAGGCTTGAGATAGCAAAAATGGATTGAAATAAATTTTTTGTACTAAAGTTCCATGCGATATTCTATAAAAAGATAAAAACCCAATGAACATTTAATTTAGCTTCAATTTCTGGATTCTGACCTAAGTCTGAATCTGTTGAATCGACATCTGAAGATCGCGCAAATTGAAGTTTAAGACTTTCGTTTCATTCGTCTCCGGCCATTGTGCTTAAAATATACTAGGAACGTAGTGAAATAACATAAATGTAATGAAGCATCATGTGTAATGAATTGAGAAGTAGCAAAATATTGGAGCTTATTGGATAAATACTGTCAAGATGATTATCCGTGTATTTGATAAAAAATCAATTTACTATGTCTGTTCTATAATTTAAATATGATAGTCTGTCATTTTGATAATTAATAGTCCGCTTTTTTTTATTTTTTATTTTTTTTAGAGGTAATATTAACTTTATGATAAATCCAATTCATCTCAAGTTTGATAATCTTTGAAAACAATACAAAGTCTGTACATCATGCACATCAGTTTTAGGAGTAAACGAAGACATTACTGCTATCTTGCTTTGTTTTAATTTATTAAACGTCCTATGTACGTACGTACGTACATTCGTACAATATATATATATATAAGAGCACATGTCCAAATTTGGTAATCGTCATTGTCTCCAAAAAGAAGGTCGCATAATGCAGGCCAAATTTGCATAGTGTTGGTCGGGAGTGCTTATTTCCGAAGGAGTAATAATACCAATATGGTAAATGATTTGCATATCCCATATGTTTCAGAATCGGGTTCCACGTTGGGCAGTTGGTTCAAAGCTCTGAGTTTTTCCGGAAAGGCAATATTGAATAAAATTAAATAATGCGTTCATGCTGCATTAAGTTCAGAAGTTTGTTTTCCGTTTCGCCAAAAGATATTAAGAATTAACCATTATTCTATTCTTGTTACACGAATTATTATTACCGGATAAACCGTTTTTTTTTTTTTTTATCTTAAATAATTAAATGAATATATCGACATGAATTGAAAATTTTTTTATTTAAAGGCAATGCCTCCCTGGTCTTTGAATCTTCACTATAAAATTTATAATGACATCTCAAACGATGATTAAATTGGGAGAAATTCAATTTATAAATGATTCTCCCGAGAGGGGACTCTATAAATCTTTTTACGAAAATTCATCAGACGATGAATTGTTCAGTGAACCGCCTTATCCTTTAGCCATGGATATCGATGAACTAACATCACCTCCTACAAATACACGACCAGCCAAAAAATATAAAAAACACCCAGATAAATCAAATCCACCACGGCCTCAAAATGATTGGGTCTTATTTCTTAGAAACTTTACAGCTCTATTAAACCTAAATGGAACGAAAATGAATAGCACCACCAAAGTTGCTCGTATGGCGGCCGATGAATGGCGTAGACAGCCTCCCAAAGTTCGTCGATATTTTAAATTTCTGGGAGATCGGGCTAAGGAGAAACATAACGAATTATATCCTGAATTCAAGTTTTCTCCAAAAAAAAAAAATAAACCAAAGAAAAAACAACTAAGTAATTCAATGGGAATAATTGAATTACGGCCCAAAAGTCATATTGATATGACACCAGAAACTTCATCCGACAATCACTTCGATATGGCACCAGAAACTTCTCCCGAAAGTCACATCGATATGACACCAGAAACTTCTCCCGAAAGTCATATCGATATGTCACCAGAATCTTCCTCCGTCGATAATTTTTCTGAAGACTTCAACTCCATGGAAATTTTAAAGCCACTTAATGATTTTACACTTTATAATGAAAGTCCGAACAATGATGAATATGCGATAAATAATCAAGAAATTTCTGATCAAACGGATGATCAAGAAATAGACAATCTTTTTAACGAAATTATAGATATCAATATGCTTTATGCTTGATTAGCGTTATGTTTATGGGGGGTTTTTTTTTAAATTGATAACTTATTTTATGCTTATCGATATATTGTAAGTTTTACATCTAAGATTTTATGTAACAAAAATATATAATATGATACAAAGAGACGTGCAATACGGGATAAATATATACATATATTACGGCACAATATATTTAATGTTATATATTATGCATAAAAAAAAATAAGAAAGATATATAGCATCTTCGACATATATAAGAGAAATAAAAAAAAAACTTATGAATATGTTAAAAAAAAAAAAAAGAATTTTTTAATGTTATTATTAAAAAATTTAATGCATCCTCATTTGAAAAAATTAGTGTATAAATTACCTTTCTATTTATAAGGATAATCTTGATTGTGATTGAATTGTTTGTGAAAATTACGTACGGAGTTCTGTATTTTTTTTCAAAAATGCAAAATCTTATTCGATTGTTTTTTTTTATATAAATTAACACAAAATATTATGACAACTATTTTGAATTAAGTTTTTATGATTGTTCGATTGCAATTACATATAATACTATATAGTACCTAGTTGATATGTATGATGACATAATTTACTATAGCGCTAAGTAAAATTTTGTATAATAAATAAAGCAGACATTTATTACGTAATTTTCAAACATTGATAATTTGCAAGGAAAAAATGTGCAGTAAATATTTGAAAAAATATACATAAAAATAAAAAAGTATATTACGTAAGAGAGAAGAGGAAAGTTATTATTAAACAGCGATGTAATATCGTAGATTCACAGTATATGATCTCGCATATTATTTAATAATGTGAGTGGCGAAGTAGGAATGTGAATATCGAATTACTAGCTGTCGCAACAAATTTTCACAGCAGCTTCTTTATTTTGATTGTCTAAAAGCAACAATTAGACCGGAATTACTCGGAATTTTAATGTAATCACATCCTCCTATTACAGTATTAAGTGAAAATTGTTCCTGTGCCAATTTTACCATACCACAGGCTTATTTTCCAAAAATTCTATTCCAATCCGGATAAATCCGTCATCCGTTTATTTATTTTTTCTTTTCTTTATTTAGTTAGTATTGTAGCCCGGATCTCCAGAAATTTTATTTGGGCGCAGCTGATCTCACGTGTATAAGCCGCAGCCTTTTGTAGATCAATTCCCATTTATAGTTTTCCCGGCGATTAATTAAGGTCAGGCCAATTTAATTCCTCTCCCTCATAGCGATAGTTAGGGCTACGGGATATTTCGGAAAATTTTTATACAGTCACGGAACAATTCGGGAAATTTTTTTTGAAAAAAATTTTAAAAATTTTACTATGTAAACCACAAATTCTCCCACTTCCGGAGGGAAGAGGGACAGAGAGAATTAAATTGGTCTGGCCTACATCAGGAAATTTTTTAAACTGATAACTATTGATTGCTATATAAGGCTACTAATCGATTAGTAACACCTTCGTCGATAGTAATTGATATAAATAAAAATTGATAGTTATTATACTTATTGATAGAAATCGATATAATAAAAATCGATAGTTATCATATCCATCGATAGAAATCAATATATAAAAATTGATAGTTATCAAGCCTATTGATAGAAATCGATAATAGTTATTGATAGTTATCAATAGTTATCAATAGTTATTGATAGTTATCGATAGTTATCGATAGTTATTGATAAATAATTTATCAATAGTAATTGATTATTAAAAACTATTGATTATTAACATTATCAATTAAAATTAATAGGGATATTTGCTGATAGCAAACACCACCGTCGATTGTTATTGATTAAATTTAACTGATAATAATCAATTAGTTGTTAGTAATCGTCACTTATCAGCTTAAAAAATTTCCTGATGTAACTGCCTTTACTAGTTATCTTGCATTTCTTAAAAATGATGTATTAATGGGAGATAAAAGGTTTTATTGATTAATAGGTTATAGTCATTTAAGAAAGTTCATTGGTTTATTTAATTTATCAGTTATATCTGCTTGAGGGATTATAGTTGCTATCTGGGTTTTATGTAGGTTCATTGTTATTTTTCGTCAGTATATCCTGTTAGCTAAAAAGCTAATTCTTTATTATTTACATAATACATTGATTAAATTCTGTATCTTCATTGGACTAACTTATCCCATTGCTGTTTGATTATTGTGTTGTATCTCTACAGGTTGTTGATACTTGATTTCTTTGCATGTTGGTTCCAGGTGAAAAGTTATTGATTCAATGTCAACTAGTCACATGATATTATTCAAAGAATGATTGAAGCCTTAGAACCATTCCTTTTACCAAATCTAAATATCCCTTTTGATATGTTGTCTTGCTCTTTTGTTTAGTTTTTTTTTGGTTTTAGGTTAAATTTAATTGTTATAGTAGTCTTTTATCTCTAGTCTAACAATATTATACTATTATATTTCTATTTTTATATTTCTTATTTTGGGAATAGATTGTTGTGGCACAGTTAGGTGTTTGATTAAAACTCTGATTGAGGCCCTATAAAAACTCAATATACAGAAATGTATGCATAAATATGAAATTGTATGTGGGTAAGTATGGGTTTCATGATTACTGCATGGAAACTGATTATCCAAAAAATTTAATATATATTATTACACAAAAAATTAAAATTTCATGCACTATTGTGCACAGTATTATATCTATATATTGATGTGTATTAATCTTAATAGCCACATAATTTTTATGCACTAACATGTACAATTGTTAAGATTCATAATGATTAAGTATGTTAGTGCATAGAAGTTAAGAATCTTAACAATTGTGCATATCAGTGCATAAAAATTATAATTGTTAAGAATTTTAATAATTATGATGATTGTGATGTCAGTGCACTGAAATTATTATTGTTAATATTCTTAATAATCATAATTTCAATGCAATGTGATAATTATTAAAATTCTTAACAATCATAATTTCTATGCATTAATGCACACAAAAATATTTATTCTGTGAGTAAATAAATATATATATATTTTTTGTTTTTGATCTGAATAAATAAATATTCACTTCTTTATTTTTTTTTTGTTTATGCTTATAATTTTTATTATTATTTTTTTATAACTCACAAATTTTATATTGTTTTTGAAGTTATTCATTAGAGTCATTTTCTTGGAAATTACTCTTTTGAAATCACTATTGTTTTTGGTTTATGTTTTTTATGCTTTGTTTTTCTTTGTTTTTAATTTTTTTTATTTGCTTTCTGTATATTATTGCATTTGCTTCTATTTTTTAGTATCTTCTTTAAGTTACTGCCATTAAAGTTGTTACAATTGGAGTTAGCACTATTGAAGTTATTGTTAAGTAGTTATTTTGATTTTTTTTTTGAACTTTTTATTTTGGTATTATTGTTTTACTTTGTTTTTTTTTCTATTAATAGTTTTAGTAATTAGAATATTTTTTTTATTCAGAATATAAATTATTAAAATAAAATATTTGTATTATAAAATTTAGTTAAAATTTAGGTAATAAAATTATAAAATTTCGTTAATAAAATTATAAAATTTAGTTAATAAAAATTATAAAATTTAGTAATAAAAATTATAAAATTTAATAATAAAATTTAAAAATCAGTTAATAAATAATGAATTTAAATGTATATACAGATATATGTTATTATGTATATATGTATGGATATATGTTTTTATGTGTTGCCTGTATGTAAATATGTACAAGAAAACACATAAAATTGCATGTTAGTTCATGTACTGTTGCATAGAATCTGTGCTTAATTACATGCTGTAAATGTGCTTTCCCATACATTGTCTCATATAGATTTACATGCAGATTCGTGTGGTTCCATATCCAAACTTTTTCATATATTGCAGCATCATTCCGTGCTGCGATTTCTTATAGGGAGGGATGAAGCTCCAAGTGAGGAAATAAAACCCAAGTGAAGGATTAAAACTCTAAACGAAGGATCGAAATACCAAACGAGGGATTAAAGCTCTAATATTAATTAAAAGATATAAATTGGTTGGGCTTCAACATATTGTGAGCCGCAGAATCATAACCTCGAAAGCACGTGGAGAATGGTAATCGGGGACACTTCAAGAAAGATGAACGCAGTGATCATCATATCACGTGAAATCATGCAATTACGACATTTGTTTACTAGCACTAACAAAATCGGCCTAAACTAACTATTCTAACATTAACCCTAACACTAACCCTAACTTAGGTCGAAAGATTTAGCATTATCACTGGGTTCACGTTCTTGAAACTACCCGGTAATCGAATGATATGTCGATCTTCTACCAGGGTTCCCAGTTGTCGTATACGCTATACACTCTGCATCGGGTCTTTAATGGACATTAGTGTAATCAGTGAAATAATGGGAATAATTAGTATAGTCAGCATAAACATTATAATCAGTATAAGTAATAAAACCATTATAATGGGTTAAAGTTGCTGGTAAAATTTCACCAGAAAACAGGTGCACCGTTGAAGATTAGTTTCATCTATAACTCTAGTTTCACCATCGGTGCACCAGTTTCCCCTGGTGCGCCATTGAAGAATAGTTTCAACTGCAACTCTATAATGGATATATCACGAACAAGATGTATAATGTAGCCTATGCATATGATAAAGGTATTTTTTCCCCTAAAGAAAATCATCCTTCGTGATTCAAACAAACCCGTCTCCTATTAATTACATACTTTCCCTACACTATAATTAAAATACTTATATCCTGGTCAACCGCTTAAGTGACATGAGTAATACTATTGTTATTCTTGCTCTCTTGTTCACGTGTTAATCGCAAGTGTAGTCCGGTTGATTCTCGACGTTAAAGTGTGCTATTTAGCACCCACATCAGTGAAAAAGATTTGAAATTATTTTGGTTGTTTTTTTAGGAACATAAATAATTAAATATATGTTCCCAAAAAATTTTTATTGTTCCTAATAAATATTTTCTCTCTCTCTCTCTCGGAACATAAATTATAACTTTTATGTTCCCACTTTGTTCCTAAAAAGGAACATAAATTTTAA